TGCTTCTTTCCGCATGTTCCTTCCTTCTGAATGCTCAGCATTGCAAATTTCCCTCCTGTGAAATGGGTATTTTGCTGTTCCTCGTGGGGGGAACTATGTGCCTTGATGTTTGGCTCTCATATCTCATCTCTTCCTTGATTTCAGTTTCTTGGGCAAGTCATTTGTTCTTTGGGGTGAGGCAGGCTCTGCGGAAGCCTTCTGTGGTCATAGTATTTATAGTGCCTGTGTTCATGGCGTGTGCCTTCCTGGCTGACTCAGAGAAACCACCAAGCCCTCTGTGCCAGGCTCAAGAGTGTCAAACATATTGTGTGGCGTAACCTTGTGTAAGCCCTAGATGAATTCATTGAAGTAAACTCTGAAGTTGGCGAGTATGAGGACCAAGTGAAAAATGACATTCCTATTTTGGCACACCATTTGTGGTCGGTGGAATGGGGAATATTTAGGTTCAATGGAAGGGAGTGAATCAGGGATTGGTGAGGCAAGCCTATAGAGGCAGCTGTCCTTTTCAGCTGCCCCCTTCTCCTATGCCCTAGATGTAGTGGTTAACCTAACTGCGGAACATAAAATATTATTCCAAAAGGGATAAACAATATGGCTTGAATCAATATATTTATAAGCTTGCAAACAAAAAGGGTAAACAATATGCTGTGCTAAAATTCCTGTATTACAAGAACCAGTATGTGATACATGTTGACTAAACTTGCCTTCTTCAGGGGTCAAGTATATTAAAAAAAAATAAAGGCTTAGATGCTCACAGAAATAGCTAGGATACAAGCTTCTCACTTCCGAGATTGCTCTAGTGGGAAATGTATTGGATTTACTCCTTAAAGACTAAATCTCCAGTCAGCCTGAACAAAGAAACGGACTGCATGGTTATGTTTTAAAACAAACTGGTAACAACTGTGCTTCATATATTTATATACTGTATGGATGTTTGGCCAACGCCTGTGTGTAAATACACTATTGAAATTATAAATTAAAAATGATTAGGTGTAAATCAGTTCTCTTACACAACCTGCTGTTTTCTACCAGAGCAACCGTCGGTGTGTATTTCCAGTGCATTTTCTGCTTGTAAGGTTGCTACCTTGTAATCTATTTGCTTTTATATTAAATTGTTCTTAGAACTAGAACAGTGCTCTATCTATATTGGAGCACATGCATTTGGAGTGTAGCTTCAGCCATTTTCCATTTTTAGGATATTTAAGTTTGTGCTTTAAGTATCTTGGTCAGATGTGATCCACATTCTGATGTCTGATCTGGTAAGACTTTTGAAATTTCAATGTTTTATTACATGTTTCATTGTTTGGCTTTTACACTATTTCTTTTAACATTAATTTTTTTAAAATTACAGATGGTCATGCCATAGTTGCTTTTGAGTGACAGCATTCAATATAGCTATTTATGTATACATAAGCTTTTACACTTTAACATATGAGATTCTTGAAAAAGACCCATCTGGTCAAAATGCTTTGGTGCTGGTTGTTGAAACATAAGAATTCTAGTACAGAATACTGTTTTATCATCTTTGTTCACATATATTCATAATGCATTCATAAAAACAGTATTGTTCAGTCTTTTCTAAATAACAAGTTATGTTCACCAGATGGACGATCCCAATTCTGTTACTGGTTATTTGGTAGGGAAATGGTAACCTTCAGTTTTGACTCTCCCTAGATGTAGTGTCACTTGGACTGAGGGTGGGGAATTATCTGTTGTTCTTTCTGCTGGCATTTCAGATCAGGATGCCTCGGACACTGGATTATGGGCAAAGCAAAATAATATCTGCCAGCTCTGAAGAATATTGATTATGGGCTGAATACAGATCTAGACATACGCCAAACAGGACCATCAAAGTCAACAGTTCTTGAGTCCCATTGTTCGCAATGGGCCTAGTCTACATATGATTAGGGGTCGACCAAACCCTACATCATTTGTTATTCTGAACAGTTGTGACTTTGAGCATAACATATATGGAAAGACAGTGTGTAAATACAGAGGTAATCACAAAAAAGAAACTCTGATGCTGCAAAAGGTTCCAACATGCCTTCTCCACAAATAACAACAGTATTACACTTCCTAGACCTTTTGAATGATTCTGCACCCGCCTACGACACTCTGAATTTCAGCCTGTTTTGCATTCCACTTTCCATAATGCTACGAGTTCAATTTCATCTTGATATTTATAGACAATGGAAACAATGAGCTAAGAAATGGGAGCAATAACAGTTGGGAATCACATTTTTAACACAAAGCACAAAGTAGTGCAAGGCCAGGTCAAAGTCAGTGCGATCCTACTCCCCACGCAAGGCTACATGTGATAAAACAGAGACAATAGGATACCCGAAGAAGAGTCATTGGATTATATTGTGAGAAACCCTCTGCCAGAGACCACCCATTCATTGGGTGAGGATAAGGATTAAGAAAGTCAGAGTCTTATCACTATGGACAGCAAGGGGGAAAATGACGTCCCAACAGATTTCTTTCTATAGCTAAAAGACTGCCACAGTACATGAACTACTACGCAGACAAAATTAAACAGCACACCATTCACTCAAAACACAACTGCTTGTAAGTATACTATCCTGTAAATCAAACCAAGAACATTCTGAGCCCCAGAGCTGATCCAAGCCATGTTGCTGCCTGGAGGCAAAGGACAAGATGGTGCTTACCTTTCATTCCCATTTCACTATGTGGTATGTGCATCTTACTCTAATCCTGACAACAGAATGCTGTCCTCCATCACCCCTGAGGGAAGAAGGGCACTTGGGGTGCAGGACACACAGCTGTATTCATGCACACTTTACAATGACAGCTGCCTCCTAGCATCTGCTGAGGAAGCAGTGGCTTGCCTGGCCTAGTGGTAGTGCTGAGCTGTCACAATCTGGTTGTCTAAATGATGGGATAGTACTAGGCCATTTATATGGCAGTCTTTTCCATTGCTTCAGACTTGGTCTTCGGGCTGAAACAGGTTCAGCACACATGGTGCAGATGCTATACCTGTGATTGTTCCACAGAGGATTGGGCAGCTGGGGAGGGGGGCTGCATTTGTGGCTACTGATAAAAATGCTTTTGTACTTCCTCCCTCAGAATTCACCAGCTTAAATTTCAAAAGAAATGTGGAAGAAGGAATGTAATTTCACTACCACTCATTTCCTGTTGCTTCTCCCACAAAATCAACTGATATGCAAACAATGAGATGTACAAAGTACAGTACTTAAAAAAACAAGTAAACAAAGTGACTCCTGATAATACATTCGGTTTATCCTATTTTTATAGATTTAAAAATCCACAAGAGAGTTCATAGATCTAATTTTTAAACATTGAAAAGTACTTAAAATCTATAAAATGCTATCTATATGTTTTTAAAATATGAAACATTTCAATTTAAAGCTCCATCTTCAGTCACAAATAGTACTGTGTTAAAACTGAGCAAGAACCAAGAACAAGGCCAAACTTCAATGAAGGAATTAACAACGGATTAACAATCCGACCATGTATTCCACAGCCAATCAAACAGCACTGATAAACATCATGGCTTATTTCATTTTGTCTTTTATTTTTCCCACAAAATACAGGCCAAGCTTGCAAATATTTAGAAATTCACCCAGTGGAATTCTTTAAATACTGGTGAAGTAAGCTAATGTTCCCCTGATGGTTGAATTCTAAATAAGCTGAAGTTCAGCAAATAGAATAACTTCTAAGAAGCAATGTGTGTTCACCACCCTCCATTCCCTTGGCACAAAAATAGAGCTTGAGCTTTTAAATATTCAGAAGTCATAGAATGGAAAGGGTTTCTGATAGCTGAGAGAAAAATACAGCTCTCTTAAGAGAGGGGGGTATCGCATAGTATGTATATTTTACAAAAATAGGACCTGCAGTGAGACGATGTGGTGCCAAGTGCTCCTGCTTAGACTATGCCATTCCATCTCCTCCACTCCAATTGGCCCCTCACATTCTGTTGCCATCCTTCAAGAGTTAGTCACTATTCCACAGCCACAAGGCATATTTAGACTTCACTGGGCAGTTTTGGATGTTCCTCTGCAATGGGTTCAATTCCGTCATATTTGTTGTACTTCTGCCAAGCTTGGGAATTCCCTGAGCTGCTGATCCCTCCCACTTGTGCGTGGATGGTACTGTTTTGGCTACATGAAGATGGGCACTCAAAGAACTGTGACCACTATTGATGTATATGCTATCTGTTCATCCTTGAATGACCTGGAAGACACAGTGCAACCATGAAGAACTGTTGCAATTCAAAGATGGCCAAGAGAGATGATTCTATGAATCAGCATGAGGGACAGAAAGTGACTAATGGTGAATTGAACTAAAGAGAATCTTCCAGTCCTATGCACACTCAAGTACATAGCCCAAAACGTAATATGAATCTCCCAGGGCAACTCTGCTGCATTACGAAGTCCTGGGTAAAGCACCTTACTGTTCTTTGGTCATCTACCCATCCTCTTCTGCCAACAAACCAGAGATGGCACAAATGCCACCCTTTGCTTCACAACCCATGACAAGAAACAGATCAGACAAAACTCATACTCAAGAAAGGGAAAGGATGATAAGTTGTTGGTTAAGGGAGGCTGATTTTTGGCACCTTCTCTCACCTCCCATGACTGATGGTACTCTTGATAAGGAGAACATTTGCAAACAGATAATATTCTTTCTCTTCTTGTAGCTCCCCCATCACAGAGTAGAACTTATTTACTACCCTGTGCTATCTGCACTGCAGGTAAATCAAAGTATTGGGGTTTCACTTTATTGCCAATGCAATAATAAGAAAAGCTTTCCATTAACCTGAATCACTCTGGATTGACTAGGCTGTAGTTAAGGCCAAGGCTGTATTTCATATAAATCTTAGTAATAGAGATGGTTGGATTATTTCTAGTATGGACCTGAAGACCTTAAAAATAAGTTACAAGCCAACAAGACTGCATGCTATTTAATTCAATTTAAACAAACTTTTTGGAAGATTTCATAAATAAAGAAAACTCTACCTGCCGAGGAGTCCTTTCCGACTTACTTCTGCACCACTCCCAGTCTGAGAGTTCTGGCTTTCGGCTCTCCTCGTGAGAAAGCCTTCTTTCCTGTCCTTCAAAGTAAGTGCACTTCTCAATATTTCTGCCTTCTTCCTTTTTGTATGTGCCTATTTTATCAGAAAGCAAGCAGTCCATGAACTTTTCCTTGGCAAGGTCCTGTTTAGTGTCTGTGCCCACGGTTTTTTTGCACCTGGCAGTATCTTTGAGCATGGAGCTGTCCTCCAGCGAAATGGTGCTGAACTCAATTTTGCTGCTCTGTTTTTGAGTTTCTTTTGCATTCTCACTATCATAGATGAGCAAACTGTGGTATGAGATTGAGTTGCCATCATCACTATGGCGGTTGTCATGGGATATCTTGTAGATTCCATAACCTTGTTGAAATGACAGATTGAATTCAAAACCTCTTCTTTTGGCTGCAGGAAGAAAACAATGTTTCTGTTAAAAATAATTAGAAACAGGAAATAAAGTATAAATGGCATATTGAATATATCAGCACTGGATAATTAGGCTGGCTTAGTATACTTTATCACAAGATTTTTAAAAAATGTCCAAAAATATTCACAACCATTTTGAGATTAGGTGAAGGTAAATGAGAAATGAGTGCCTGAGAATAGGTAAAGGTGGACATGCTCTGCCTTAAGTAAATGGATTTATGACTCAGCTTAAATGTGGTAAAAGCAGTCTTGCACACAATTCTTCTGCACTCTGCCTTGGAGGAGTTTAGGTGGGTTTTCATGTACTTTCACCATACTTTCACACAGTTTCCTCATTTTTTTTTTCTTTTTTAGAAGGAGAACATAGTGACTTTCCAGATATTAGGGACAGTGCTGATGTAATTTTTTTTCAGAGAGCACAGTTTGTGAAAGTCTATAATATTCTACATGGCAAATAAACTTTTTGACCTCATCATGATAGGACTCAGAAGAAAGTGGCTGATACATGTTAATTTTGATTGGGTATAAGAAAAAGAACATTCTTCAAATGGGACAAACTAAGTCATGGCTTAACATAACTCCCACGGATTTCACTGGGAATAAATGTTTCAGTCCTGTGCATGTCCACTGAGAAGTAAGTCCAATTGAATTGTATCCCTGTGTAAGAGGGTTCAGACATGCAGCCTAAGCTAACAAGTGTTTTCCCTTGGCCTCAATGGGCAGTAGGTTCAAATAACTTACTTTGGATTCAGGCCTTAGGTTTGAACCGGGTGCTAGTGTGGCATGGCTGTTAAGAGCACAAACAGTGAAAACATCCTGATATATTCAAATTACATACCTAAGGTTGGATTCAGAACAAGTTCATTGTAACTTATGTTACACCGCTTTCAATGGGAACTGGCTGCAGCTAAAGTAGGCTTGTTCTAACCCAAGGTTTCCAATGTGTGCTTTATTTTGGCTGGTGCTCTTTTATGTGTGGCTGAAATGTGCAGATGGTTTTGGGGGTTAGCATCTGTTGGAAGTGCTTTAATCTAATTTTAATTGAATAGTGTATTTTTGTACAGTGGATTGATCTAGAAAGGGCAATGAACAGGTGGCAATATCTCTGCAGAATTAAGAGCACATGCACCAAACTGGAATGGCAGCAGATATGGCTTCCAGGGCTGGATCCAGCATGTTCCTGTGGGTTATTTTTGCCTGGTGTGGGATTGGAATGGTGAAATCGTTACTTGCAGGCACAGGCTTGGCTAGTGCTCATCATTTACTGGCTTACTTGCCCAATATAGTAAAAGGGAAACAAAAGGACTAATTTCGATTCCTTCAGCTAAGTGCTGTTTTGGGGCTGTCAGCAGCAGACACATTTTTCTGGTATACAGAAGTGCAAATATTGAATGGAGAGCTTCTTTGAGTTAAGGTTTGAACCAGGGGTGAAGAACCTTCTACAGTCTGAAAGCCGAATTTTACTTCAAGACCTACATTTCAGTGGTATGTTGGGCTGCAAGAAAAAGTGGGCTCAGTTTCATGTGCCATGTTGGTCCTGGCTGACCACCCATACTTTTAGTCATTTAATTCTGTATGGAACTGGAACTCAGAATAAATATTCGGTTTGAGAGATGGGAAGCAGAATAGCCTTTAGCATAAGCAAAGCAAAGGAAAGGGAGCAGGTTTAAATGACTGCATCATATTCACCTTGCCATCTGCCATATATTTCACTCTGTAAATATTGTATCAGAGCCAGAGCTACACAGTGTCTGCCGCAAATTATTTCTTGACACACAGCAAACACTGTGTTTGGGACAACAGGTTCCAAAGGACCGAGAAGCAGCATTCATTCAGAGAGAAAAGCCCCTCTCTGAGTAAGAGCATAGATCCATTTTGCTCTGGGTTGAATTGGAAGGATTTTCAGTAACAACCATGACTACTAAAACATGTTCTTTGTGGGGGCTGCCTGCGTGGGCTATTTGGAAACTTCAGCTTCTTTAGAATGCAGCCATCAGATGTTTATTGAATAACTGTTAACTAACACTAGCTCATTTCACCACTACCTAAAGACTTCCTCCGTCTGATTCTTAGGACTTAGTGAACTTATGAATATCTGCCAGCTTGAGCTGTATTTTGTGAAAGGGGAAAGGAGTGATGATGAAACTGCATTTCTCCCTCCACATTTTTGAACATGAGGTGGTGAATTCTGAGGTTGGAGATGCATGTCTTTTTTACTAGTGATGGAAGATACAGACAGCACCCCCAGGCCTGGCCACACAGTGCTGTTTGGAAGATGCATAGTTGTAGCATCTACACTGAGATGCTAAAGCTCTTTCAACCCAAGGGCTGAATTGCATTCTGGAGATGCTCTCTGCGGCCATGTCCCAGGGCTACACTGCTCTGAAGGCTATAGGGCTTAAAATAGCAGCACATTGTAACTCAAAGTTTTTACATATCAGTAGTGAAGACTTCAACCTTTTAGAAAAGAGGGAACTGCACTAAATCTGGGAAGTCCTCCCATCCCCTGAGATCAGCAACAGAAGCCCTCCTCCAGGAACCCTCTGTGAAAGATGTTAGGAGACAAAGTACCCAGAGGGGGGCCTTCTCTGTGGTGGCGTCCCAACTATGGAGTGTGCTCCCCAGAGAGGTCCGCCTGGCACCATTATTATATGTTTTTCAGTGCCAGGTTAAGACCTTTTTATTTAATCAATATTTTAATATGTTTTAATATTGAATTTTACTGTTGTATTTTTATTAACTTTCAGCCAGAGTGGGTTGTCAATTTATTTATGCTGTGAGCCATCCAGAGATGCAAGTAACTGAATGGCATACAAATTTTATAAATAAATAAATTTAAAAAAATCACCAAATAAGTAGGTTGGGGTAATGTGTATGAGGTTATGAGAAAAATTATGGCCTGCTGGACAACCCCCAAGGTCTAACTTTAGACCACAGGTTGAAGGTTCAGGACCCCTGATCAAGGCCATGAAGTAGCAGAACTCCCAGGAATTCCAGCAACACAGAGGAGCTAGAAAGAACAGAAAGTCCATTTCGATCCCCACATTCAAATTCTGATCCCATGCCTCCCAACAGTCCAAATTCTCCCATTTTTACAGACTGTGAATGAGGCCATGAAAGGGACGAAACATTTCTCTACTGTGTAACTTTCATTCTGAGCAGGAAGGGGCTGGTTTTGAGCTATACATCTAACCACTTCAGATGAGTGTATAACGCTGCTGTCTATTGCTGTTTTATTGCTTCTTATTGCTGTTTTAATTTCATGTTTTGAGACTTTTTGTTGCATTTTAGTATTGCTGATTGCCTTGTGTAGCATTTTCAGTTAAAAGGAGTTATGCATTTAATAAAATGAATTAATGAAGCCCTGCTTGCTCCCTTATCAACCTGGTCAGCTGCTGAGGAAGTAAAAGGAATAGCTACTTAGCATTGGCACATTTTAGTAGAGGTGCACAGCTATGGAATTTCTTTGTTTTCTCTATTAGTCTGACACTAAACGCAGAGGACTTAAAAAAATAAATAAGGTTGTTTTTTTTAATTTTACTGGCTTTTAGCATGACTGCTAATTTTAGCATTTCAACTGCCATGCTGCTTTTATGCTGCTCGTTTATTATATTGTAGTTACTTGTTTCTTTTTTCCCTGTGATATTGTCACTCACCTTGGAAACTGACAGTGAAATGGCTGAAAGGTGAAATGAAAATAATTTAGAATAAATCAATGTTAATGCGTGTTGGAATTGGGGACCTGATCCTAAGTCCAAAAAAGTAATCACATCAAAGAAAAATTTCTTATGGAGACCAAATCAAAAAGATATGATCAGCTGCATATTGATATAGAAGATAGTCCCATTAAAATCAGTGGAACATGCTTCTGAGTATGCATATGGAAATAGGCTTTGGAAATTGAGTCTAGGTACCTAGTCATAAATGGCTGCAAAAGTAGCCTGAAGTTTAGCAGGAAAGGGAAAACCACACACCGAGCTATGAAAATCTCTGCTCATTATTCACAATGTACTACAGTCATTAATCTAATCAGTTCTTGGGAGACAGCCAGTACAGCATATAAAGCAGCTTTTCCCATCCTAGACCCTCTAGAAGTGCTGGGCTACAATTCCCAGTATGCCAGCCTACATGGCCAGTGGCTATGACAGGAGCTGTAAGCCGCCACATTGTGCTCTTTCAGACCACAAGGGTTTGTTCCCTGTTCAGCCGTGAAGCTCACTGGGTGATGTTTTCATACAGACACCATCTCATGTTGGTGTGGGACATACAGGGTTGGTGTAAGACAAAAGATGAGGGACATTTGTGCTTTCCACAGTTTCTTAGAGGAAGAGCAGGCTGAGAATGAATAGGCACTTATTTTTGTTCCCTTTGGAAACAGTATCTGTATGTGTTTGCCCTCTTCTCTGTCATTGCCCTCTTCTCTGCCTCTATGAGAGTTTTCTGTTCATGTGAAAGGAGTAAAACAGGCCTGTCTAATCCATGTTCATGCCATACAGTATAGCTTCTGAAATACTTGCTGTCTTGTCTTCCTCACAGCCCCAGCCAGTCAGTAAAACCACTATTTATGAATAGTGAAGGTGCCTCCTTTGTGACTGACGGACTGAACCAATTTGGTTGGCCACAGAAATGAGAAATCCAGTCTGAACTTTGGCAGTTCCAGAACAGCCCTGAAATGTACCTGAAGAACCAGAGCTGTTGTTGTGGAAGTCATGCACTCTTGGCTTATGTTGTGGTGCTCATCTGAACACATCACTTACAGAAGTGGAGAAAGAGGGAGATGGGCACCTGTAGACCTCACTGGAGAAGACCATAAAATGCCGCCACATGAAAAAGCATTTTAAGGTTGGGTGATTGAGTGACCTCCCCAATCTAATGCCCTCCAGAGGTTTAAGAGTACAGGTCCCAACATTCCCAGCCACTGGCCATCTTGAGACTGATGGTAGTGAAAAACATGGGGAGGGGATCAGGCTGAGTAATGTTGGCCTATACCAGGGGTGAGTTACATTGCCTGCAGGACACAGCAATCCCCATTTCTCCTGCCATCCATTTGTGGCAAACTTAAAGGCTGTGTTAGCTTAAGGAATGATATATAAGACACACTTAAGTTTGACCTGCACAGCACTCTGTAGCCACCATGAAGAGCTCCATAGGTCCAAACTATACCTGGCTGATTTTGCACTCCATAGTGCTAACACAGCCATTGTTTTGAAGCAATGCACTTGGGCAGAACACAGAGTGCCTTTAATGGGGGTTCTGAAAATGGACCTTGGGGCTCCCAAGACTCCAAATCTGTGGTCTGCACAATCTGACCAGTGAGTGGTTCAAGGCCAATCAGCACTAGGATATTTGCCTCTTTCCTGACAATTTCTTCTGTACTTACTTTTGCTTGCTTCTGAGTCTACGTTGTAGATGTTCCTTCGACAGTTGATGATGCAGCCGCAAGGCAGGTGGCTCCAGTGTTCTGACAAGACAAACACTGGAGTGACAGTGACAGCAAGCAAAGTTAGCAGAAAGCTGAATATCTCAAAGGAAAGGCTTTGAAAACCAACAGTGTGTTGAACAACCATTTGTATCTGAAAAATGGAGACAATGTAAAAGAATTAAACAGCCAGTTATCTTGCATGCAGAAATAATAATAAATCTTGCTCAGAAAAAAATAATTACTTCCACAGTCTTCCCCTTCTCTGAACTTTGGCACCTTCACAAATAATGATCCAGTCGAAAATGCAATACAGTTCTATATGTATCTACTCAGAATTAAATCCTGTTGATTTCAATGTGCTTGATTCCCAGTTAAGCGGGTTAAAGACCATCACTTACTGTGCAGTTCTAGGCATAGACTGTGATCTAGTACACCATCTGAATAAGTCCTATAATATATGATTTTTGGTTTTCATCTAAAAAATATTGCATTGTCTAGACCAATTATCAGTGCTGTATCTGGAGTGCAAAGAGAATGGACATGCTGGTGTGAAAGGCAATGTGGCCTAGTAGTTACTTTGTTGGATTGGGAATTGGAAGCTCCAGGTTCTAGTCCCCACTTTGCTGGGAAGCCCACTGGGCAACCTGGGCCAGACACGTTCTCACAGGATTGTGAGGATAAAATGGAGAAGAGGACCAGATAAACCACCTGGGAATTCTTGGAAGGAAAAAGGTGGGATATAAATGTATTATTACTATTATCATCATCATTTCACTAGAGCACTTCTATCAGAAGTGTATCTCAAATGCTTCTCATTGGCTCTCCGTGTTCCCATGCTGAATGCCTTTTGCTGGCTATAGATCCTTTGACAGCATGGCTATTGAGAATTATTTCATATATTAAATGAAAAGAAACCTAGGTTTTTGCCACTGAATGTATATTCAACAATGTGTGGGTTTACAAGCCCACATATTGGCTGCACACTTTAAAATACACTCTTTTGACTATAGATACATTCTGAAAATATGATGTGCTAAATGGCCCTCTATTAAAATATTTTAAAAAGTTGAAAGGACAATGGAATTATGACACCAGAAAATAGAATTCATTAACACATTTGCTTGCATTTTCAAGGCTCAAATAAAGATATGATGGGCTAATCAATGATTTCTTTTTATATTCTCTTTTGTATAGGCCAGCATACTAAGCATGACTGAGCATAACCATAGCCTTTATTTACTACATGGATACAATATAGATATGTACATAAGTATATTTTATATCATGCATAGCACAAAAATAGTGACCTGGAAATGCATGTGTGTGCCTGTGTGCATAGGTACACACACACACACACACACACACACACATACTTAGGTTGCTTCCAACAAAAGCACATGCCATTGCAAGACACTTACTCTCTAATGTATTTGTGAACACCCCTGTTGTGGAATTGCCTCAGCTGAGCTTTGTGACTTTCAATTCTAACAGATGCTGAAAAGCAAATGTACTAATACAACTCCCATCTGTGTTTCTCAGAGCACTGGTTGCTTCAAGTGAAACAACGAACATTGATCCTCAGTGCTAAGCAGAGGAGTAGCTTTGATGCTGAGCTATTAATAAAAGTCCATTTGAGGTAATATTGAGAGATAGAAATGCACCCCTGAGATGCTGATAATGCTGACTGATGGGTTCTACACTGTCCTCACTGTACAGAGTTTCACAGATGAAGAAGTAACCTCCTGCCCTTTCCCAAGCTTGCAATCTAATTTCTCTAATGTGGCAATGGCAGAAGGAGGGGGAGGGAAGAGAGCACCTGGCAAGGGAATAACATGGAATGGCTCCAAAGCAGTGTTCATAAGAACATGAGAAGAGGCAGGTTGGATCAGATCAAGCGTTCATCTGGTGCAGCGTTCTCTCCACACAGTGGCCAACCAGCTGCTCTCAAGAGACCTGCAAGAAGAGCCGGAGTATGACAGCACTTTCCCTTCAGCAACTGGTGCACATCGGCATGCTGCATCTGACAGTGTATAGCCATCAGGACCAGTAGCTATGGATAGCCTTCTCCTCTATGAATTCGTCGAATTCTCCTGTAAGGCCATCCAAACTGGTGTCCACTATTACATCTTGTGGAAGTGAATTCCATAGCTAATGTGTTGTGTGAAGAAATATTTCCTTTTATCCTGAATGTCCTACCAATCAGTTTCATAGCATGATCCCAATTGTCTCCCTCTCTACTTTTTCTACACCATGTGTAATTATGAACTCTATCATTTCTCCCTTTACCTTTTTTTCCAAGCTGAACAATATCAGCTGTTGTATATGTTTTCACAGTGGAGTTATTCCAGCACCTTGGCCATTTTAGCTGTTCTTTTCTGCACTTTATCTAACTATACAGTAGCTGTTTTTAAGTGTGGTGACCAGAACTCTAATAGTATTCTAAATGTGGTCAGACAATAAATTTGTATAAGGAGTGTATGACAGACAGTTTTATGTTCAATTTCTTTCCTAATTATGCCCAGCACCAAAGTGTAGTTCTACTCCTGTATGTGATACACAGAAGTAAATCCTACTGTGTTTAATACGAAAGCATGCACAGGATTGCAGCCATAGTCACAGCCAGGGATAGGTTTTAAGGATTAATGCAAATGCTTCATAGAAAAGGGAGTCTGGGGATGGATATGAAGGGGAAAAAGGGCTCTCAAACTTAGTCCAAGGCAAGAGGGAGACTGGCTGAATGCAAGATGGGACATGTGCATATTCAAAGGTCTCATGCAGACTTTCTTTGAGCATGTTCACCAAGGCAGTTGTCAGTCAGCCTTATCTGCAAAATAAGAACAAACATGCTCCCTCACTTCTGTGATATATTTCAGTTTTGTAGCTACAAGCAACTCACTGGCCAAGGGTGTGCCTTGCAGCTAGGCTAGGGAAAAGGAATCCTTGGCAAATACTCTGAATAATCCCATGCAGTCAACCAGGTGCCTGTCCAGTTGCTTGGAACAGAAGCCCTTGACCCAACTTTCCAGCTAGTTTTATTCCTTGACTCATTTGGCAAAAGGACCTGTAGAATGTTTACATATGCTAGCAGCAAAGTAATTAACCAGAGCCTTGGATTATGCATGGCTATGTCAGTCAAGGACTATGAAACATACGTAGGAATACAAATCTGTTCACTCATATATGGATTATCCAAATCTGTAGTTTAAAGTCTAGCTACTTCCACAAGAACACACTGATATGGGATCTCATGAAAACAGTGAATCTGGGTAACTAAGAGTTCTTGATCAGTGGATTTGCCAGAGTAATAGAAACATAACTTTGACTGAAATTACAATAGCTTCTGCAATTATTCCTTGGTGGGGAATCCATTCAACTCTTAGTAGGCAATCTAACAGAATAAAAAGATAGAAGGCAAATGAGACAGTCACTTTTATGTGTTCTAACTTGGAGTTTAAATGCAGCATGCAAGTTCTCAAGTTACACAGGAAATACTGCCCTGTTTGCTCTGTGTATGATGGCCCTTATGCTAAATCTGACCAGACACTACCTAGCAGGCAGAGAAAGAAACTTGATTTATTATTACCATCATTGGGAGCCAAAGAATGACTTTTGTCAGAGCCAGTATCAGCGAGAAGCGCTTCTGAGCAAATTCCACAGTGAAGTTTCGGCTGTTGCATGGTACATCTTGTGTCCCGTAGCGGTCCATCCTGCAGCGATTCACTGGACTCTGCCTGACTATTGGGTCAGAGTTCTGGCAAGCATCATGGGAATGCTTCAAGGTTTTATTCACAGTGTCTTCTGGAGAGAGGGGTGATGTGTGACTACTAACTGGAGGTGACCCAGGAGAGAAATATCCTCGGGTGATTTGATGGTAATCTTCATAGAGATGATATTGCTCATCAGAACACAGCAGCTGATAAATGAGAGGAATGGACAGCACAGCAAGGAGGCAGAAACACAATGAGTAGATAATAAAGAGAAATAAGATGTAAGAACTGCTGCAGTCGGTAAGGCATCCCCAGGAGGTGGAGGCATAGGTGCCCCAGCCGCACAGAGGCAAGATGCAGATCAGCAAGCTGACAATCCAGATTGTGAGGACAGCCCAGATCATGCTCACCGGCCTCTTGCTGGCCCCTTGGCTGCTTCCCACTTTGCTGAGACTGTAGAAGTTGTAAGAAACCACAAGGGACCCCATCAGATTGCTTGAAAAGCCTTGAAATAAGTACAGTAGTGCTGAAGCAGTGCACAGGCTTGGGGAAAGCATCTCATTCGACCAGAGCTTGAGCATGAAGATCGTTGCCGGTGCCACACTGATAAGGTCGTCCACCGTCAATGAAGTCACAAGCATGGAAATTGTACTTTTGTTCTGCATTCTCAGCAGAGACACCAGCGAATAGATGCTGCCCAGGAGTGCTGTGAGCGTAATTATAAAAGTCAAACAAAAAAGGAAAAGGCTCAAAGATTTTTGATCTTTGGGTATATCCATAATTCCCTGGTTCAGGTGGCTTGTCCCATTTAATGATGCATTGCTATGGATGACCGGCATTGTTGTCAGGGTGGATATTACTGTGCCTTTTCTCTGCTTCTATGAGTTCTCATCTGACAAGAGAACTGTGAACTCCACAGCAGATTCCTGATCTTCCCCAAGTTTATTCTTAGGCTGCATTACATGATCCCTTACCACAAATCTACTTAAGAAGCCCTCAAGTATGCCCAGTAAAGCTTTCACCTGAAAAAAGCACACACTGCTAAAAGAAGCATGAATGTGAAGTATCAGAGAGAAAAAGATGCCTGCCCAGAAAATAAAGCAAATTATCCTGTTCTTGTTTGGTTTGCTTGTCCTGGTCCTTTATAATCCAAGGTGATCAAGTTTTTCTCTCCAAGTCCAATGCTTTCCGCAGATGCCAGGAAACGTGTGCCGGAGTAGAGATATCAGTCTCATGCTGGTGGCTGGAGATGAACTATAGCGGAGGGGTGAGTGGGGAGAAAAACCAGGAGCTCTTTGGTTCAGTCTGCTCTATTCAGAGCTGCAGGAGGGAGGAGTCAGATGGAAGCAGGATAGCAGAAGAGAGAGGGGGAGTGCGTGTCTCTCTCAACAGAGCTGCTCTCAGATCAGAAGCAAGTGCGAGTTCCCTTGCTAAGCCACACCTCTGATGCTGACTCTGAAATGGAGAGCAAACAGTGAGACCTGGTGCAAGCCACGAATATCCTCCCTTCTGAGCCCTGAGCCACCGCTTGGCTGCCTACAGCCAGCTTAAACATGCGCTTGCCCAGCACATTGACTGCAGCTCTGACCAGCGAGAGCAGAAAAGCCACATGAATCTTTGAACGAGAAAGGAGCCCTACAACTCCTAGTATGCCTTACTCTTCCTTAAATAATAGTGCAATCATGACTACAAGAATAAGATGGGGTTTGCCTCTGGTGCCCCGGATGCTAAAATTAGCAAGATGCACCTGTTTGTTGTATAAAAGGATAATATACATCTAAAATGAACGTGATAAAATGACCACTATGTACAAGCTTGGTGACTTGTACATAGTCACCCTGACTTTTAAATGTTATAACAAGTAAAAGAGGGCAGAAGTTGCTAGCACAAACAGCATCAGCCTGGCTGTGCCCATGTTAGCCCAGTTTTCCACTCTTTCCACCTACCGCTCTCTGCATAGTCCTTCGAGGAGCTCAGGCAGGAGGCCTTGGACTTTGGCCGCAAGGTCCAACCCAACCTGCACTAGTACAGGCACCCAGTGATCATAAGCGGCATTGTAAGTCTTCTCACACACCTGTCAGCTCCAACAGCACTCAGAATCTGATGGAGTTTTGTCATTCTCAGCTTTGCACACCAAAATGATGACTTTTAAATCAATCTCAGCTTTGTGTATCACATACACTTTGTCCACTACAGCTGAATGGCAGTTCTTGCAATTACAATATTCAGTCTCTAGATTTCCCAGCCTCATTTACTACTGGGAGCATTTCTTGAGGCTGATCATTTACCTCAACCTACAATCCTTATGTAGAAACACTAGTGAATAAAAATGGTACATAGCATTTAAAGGAGGAATGAAATAGGAAATTGGATTGTCCCATATTGTCTAGTCAATGGATCACCCATTTAGTATCTGTATCTAAGCTTCTGTGGATTTCAGGTTATACCTGATTCTGCTAAATGTCTTTTCTGTGTCCACTGGAAGGTCATATGTTGGCAATGCCCCATAGCTGCCTCTTTCAGGTAGGGGGTTGTTATAGTGTATTGAAACACTCTTTAAGTGTACTTATGCATATGTCCTCTTAAACCTGCCTGCCACCTGCAAGTTAATGCAAAGTTAGCAACTGTAGGGTGGGTTAGTAGAATTCTGTACAGCTGCTACCAATCAGTATTGGCTAGGTGCCCAGAGTTCCTTGCAAAGGGGGAAAAGGCAGGCTATAAATGTGATGATGATGATTGATAAATGATCTGACATAATATAAGGCAGCTTCTTATATTCCATGTGATAGTTAAAGATGAGCAACCAATCAGAAAGAAGAGATGACAAGCATAATGAAGCACTAACATGATTGAAAACACAGGGCTTTGAGACTTTTAAGAGCAAAGTGTTCAATGCTCTGTGTCTGAATGGATGAATATTTCAGTTGTGGTTTCTCCCACATTCATTTCTAAAGCAATTGCAAGATCTTTTTGCCCTGAGTATGAAGAAGTGGGTAAATTTTTGCTAAACCCTAACCCTAAACCAAACTGAAATGTAATTCTCATCCATGCCTACACTGCATGCAAGCTGGCAAGTAGGACAGCAGATAAGCGATCCAGCAGTGATCCAATTTTCTCTTTAGTCTACGCTTGCATCCTACTGTCACCTGATGAAGTGCAGTCATCTTGGCACAGAGTGTGTCTTTGGATGAGAATAAATGCTATATGCCTTGGTGATCAAAGGGATAAGCTGACAGCATATTCCAGAGGCAGGCATAAACTGAAGGCAGGTGCATAATGTAGTACATTCTTCTTCTCCGTACCACCAGCAATTCTGTGATAAGCTTTGGGCGCATGGCAGCAGGCTGCCTCCTCTCAAAGGCTTTCTGACTTCTTCAGTTCTACCTGACAAAGTGGATCAATGCCTCAGAAGGAATTTTGGCTTATTATAATCCACAGCATGGCTGAGCACATACTGAAGCACCAAGCTGAAGAGGATGCAAAGGGCATCATAAGCAGCACATGCCTCACAATAGCATCAGGGTCAGCGGTGGCCTCAAAGCAGCATCCTGCCTGCATGACGCGCCCCACCCTCCCCCACTTGCAGATCAATGGGATACAAGCCAGACAAATCGAGAGCAACTCTCTCATTCCTTATAGAATCTGGTGTCGGACAGTCACTTACACATTGCCAAACTAGAGGAAATGCATCACTCAGAAAAGAAGACAACCATTTACATTCAAGTCACATATGCTAACATATACTCATAGATGTAGATTGATATATAATGACTATACTTTAGGCAGAAACACGATATACCGTAGTGAAAAAAGCTCCCTTCTCCTGTCCAGGTGTTTCCCCTTGATCAGCTACTTCAAGCCCCCTGGTGCTCGCTCTCCTCCTGGTTCTTTGTCTTTAAGGCAGACTTGAACTCGGAAGTTCTTCAGATAGAATATTGCCCTCTGCCAGCTCTCCAAAACAGAACTTTTCCCTGTAAAGTAGGGCAACTGCCACCCTAAAATTCTGATAGACTAGCTGTCAAGGCAGAGTGAGAAAGCCATTTCAGGCAGTTGATTTTGGTGTTGGTGGGAGTTACCATGAAATGATTACTGTTGGAGCTATTATTATTGTGTTTTACTGACATGGAAGGAGAAAAGTGCTTTTGGGATGTTCTATCCCTGGTGCCAAGATAACCTGGCTAGTCTTGGGTACTTTGTACCTTGAGGGGAATGTTGGGGGAGGCACCATTTACTGCTTCACTTCAGGGAGCTAAATGTATTGGGCTGACCCTGCACTTCCCTGCGATCATGTGTTCTGCCTCTGGGGCTTTTAATCTTTGTTGGTTTTTATCAAAACCAGATAAGATCCAGGGGATGGTAACAACTCCTATGTCAGTGGTGCTTGTTACCCACTGTGCTTTTTCTTTTCAGCTTTATAGGAACTATCCATGGCAGTGGATGGATAGATCTCTTTCGAGCTTTATAGGAACAATTCTTCCTATTTTGGTGGTGAAGTTCAGCAGCACAGACATCTGCTTTAATGTTCCTATAAAGCTGAAAAGAAAGGCAATGGATGAGTAACCCAACTGGGAGGGGACTCACCAGGCTCCCCTGACCAGAGATGGGGCTGGCCTTGAGTTTAGTCAAGACCTGACATGCACACAATTTGGAACCTACAACATTTATATAATTTATTTGTTTTACACAAACACCAGCCAATAGCTGAGCACTGAAGCTATCCGGGCAGTTTACAAGAGGGGTCTCCCTGTGGCATACTATGTATGAAAACTTCCTTGCTGCCAAATGTAGTCAAACTATTTATTCCAGGGTTTCCTTCAGGGTCCCTGAACTCAGGGTTAGTGGCTGACACGCAGAACACTATCCAAATCAAACAGGTGTGCTCTTTCCTGATATAACACCATAGCAAGAAAGGTTACAACACTATTCATTTCTTTTGCAAGATGATTCAGAAAGCATTGGTCCTGTCTAAAGAAACCTGGTAACTTGATATAGGATGGCTACTTACATATTGCTGAAAATGGAGGGAGTGTAATCCCCAAAAAGGAAACAATAGAGGGCTTAGTTCTCCATAAAATGTACTGGGGCTGATATACATATCAGAGAGAGAGAGAGGATACATCTCACCATAGTGGAAAGACTGACCAGGTGATCCATCTGCCACTCATTCTGCTGACAGTGCTAACTGTTGATGGACAATCGCAAGACCTCTACACTCCCTTCTTATGTCCTTTGTCTTTAATCTGGGCACTGACTGGGCAATCCTTCAAATAATGGATGCCTTCAGGTAGAGGGCTGTCTTTGGATAGCTCTTAGCATACAGGACTGTTGTCTCTAAAGGAGTACACCCATCCTCCCAAATAAGACTGGGCATCAACCTTTTCCTTTTTTGGAATAACAGTAGAGACTGGCTTTCCTGTTTCATAATTTCTTGGGTTTATGATACCATCGTTCTAAATGTTAGCACAATGGTGAGATACTTGCTACATTTATGGCGGGGAGTTAACTTGCAGACATTTGGCTTAACTAGAGAGCATAATGCAAAGGACAAATCAAAAGTAGTTGAAAGAATGTTAGTATTTTATTGCTAAACAATGCAACTTAGGCTGCAGTCCTCTGCATATTTACACAGGAAAGAACTCCAGCAATGCCCAGCATTCCCCACTTGCACTTTCTTTGGTCTGAACAGGTGAGGACCATTAATTGAACGTGGGATTTTTTAACCGAATGTTCCTGCAAAAAGGGTGGGGGGAGAAATGCATTTAAGAGATCTTCTAGTACCTAAAACATTTTCAGACATTTTCAGAAGATGCATAGATAGGCTGCCTTTGAAGACATGATG